ACTGTTACGTAACAGTCTTGACTCATTAATATTTACACCCCCAAAATGTATATATGAAAATGGAGCAACACCAAGAAAATGACAGACTATGTGCAGAAATGTACCGATCTAGGCTATGAAATGAGGTTTATACCCTTTCCAGAGATCCTACAACTTTCTTTCTGAAGGCCCAACCAAAGTCAACAAGCAGGGTTGATGTTCATCTTAAACGCGGCTGAAGTTGGCTTCCTCTTTGCCAACTTCTTAATCAAATGTTCCGTTCCACCTTAAATGCTACAGCTTGTACAGCGCCAGACCGTAACTGCAGATCAAAAGAAAGTAGCTAGTATAGGTAACGTTAGCTACTACCCAGCAAACATAGTTACATTGAGACAACGTTGTAACAACCTATTGTTTTGGTCCCCACAACGTTGTCACAGTGTTGAAACGTAATTCCACAAAAAAGTTGTGACAACATTATCTGACAACATTGTGACAACATAATGGTACCCTCTAGAATCCTCATAAGGTAGCAAGCTCCAAGTAACTAGCATAGCTACGTAAATAGTCTCATGACTGAGCTTATTTACACAGAGGTTCATTTTACTTTCCTGCCTGTGTCTATTTTGACATGTTGCTTATGTGTTAGCCATCAGTGCCTCACTGTAAACCAGTAAATCAGAGCAGTGTTCATCAAATTATTCATGACCCCCCAAGAAAGGAAAACGGCTTGTTTCATTCTAAGGCCAAATCACAGGGTTGTAAATAGGCATGTAAAGCCATATCCAGACATTTTTCACCCCTAACCAATCACATACCTTATATGCAGACACCAGAGAACAAGTTATGCTGAATAAGTGCATTCTATAGCACATTTGAGCGTATTAATTGTCCAGGCTCAGCTCAAACCCACCTCTCATATCCTGTCCATTTTCTCATTCCAGACGTCCTGTGGGGCTGTGAGGTGCGAGACAGGAATAGAACCTGGTGGACAGAAAATAGGTTTTGGTTGCTTGGTGACGGCACACAGCATTCAATTTTTGGGGCTAGCTTTTTTCTACAACCGTGGATAACAAATGACACAAACAAACCATAAGATAGAGAACAATAGAGGTGCTTTTGCTAGTGATGGAGGAGATTCATCACAACAAGTGTGACCACAGAGTGGAGCAGAGCTCCTGCATGTTTTGCACTGATGAAGCACTAATTTCAGCATTACACAGGAGAACAACTAAACAACTCAACAACTAAATGCAGCCTAATATACTTGTTTTTAGTGTTTCAAAGAAATGTGCAGGGATAGTTTTCCACATTTCCAAATTTTAGTCTGGTCAGGCTTATCATGATCCAAGTAATCACAAACACATTCAGTGATGTTGAGGTCTGGACTCTGCGACACATTCTTTCAGGCTCATAGTGTTGAGTTGTCTTCTCACAGTGGAAGGATGGACAGAAACACCTGTAGATTTTCTCAGATCTGAATCAAGAGTGGAGTTTGATTTTCTCCTCTCTCTCAAAGATGAAAGCTTTAAGTGCTGTTTATCTGATGGTGACAGTTTTGGTGGGCTACCAGGTCAGTTGCAGTATCTCAGGGGAGATGATGTTCCACTCTGAGATATCTCATGAATCTGTCCAGGATTTGCAATTTGCCTCTTCACATTATGGGCCCTATACTGCTGAAGTTTGGCTGAAGTTAAAGTTGATGGGAATGTGGGCTGCAGGATGAGGGGGCTCCCCTGCTCTCTGACCCTGAAAGAGTAGAGTTAAATACAGAGAGGAAGCCAAAGTTCCACTGCCTGCACTCATATCTGGATGAGAAAGCCTTGTGGGTGCAGATGTGGCAGACGTTTGTGGGCGATAGTGCCGCCTGAGCTCTGAGACGTTTTAGAGTCAGTGTGTCTGGCTGAACTATGAAGGGATCTCTGCGGCTAAACAATTCACTCACTCTCATTCAATTAAATTCACCAGTTAACATGACCATTAATTATTTTTTCAATGACACAGCAGTACTAAAGGCACTTAAAGACAAGCTACAGATATCAAATAAAGCAAAAAACTATACCATTTGCATATGTAGTGTAGTCTATCTAGTAATCTGGTAAACTGTATGTATATTTTTTCAGCAAAGAAGAAAAAGGGGGAGTTCATCATTTAAAATACACTAAAAATTATTTTTAACCAAATCTTAATTAAATTATGGAAAGAGTTTCCACACAATTATTTGACTTTCTTTCAAAATGTAACATTCTGGTTTTTCCAAGAGACCAAGGACACTGGGTGCTATATTAAAGTCCTTATATGACTGTGATGACAGGAAAGAGGAACCTTGTTGGTTGTAGAACCGGCTCAAACACAAGAACTACCACAAGAATGACCAGGAACTACAAAAACTAGGAAGAATGATTTAAATCGAGGACAGTGCAACACAGGGAGCTGAACTGAATGGGGAACATTTCTCTCTACAGGAAACAAAAAACACCTGAAGATAATAATGAAGGAGAAGAGCAACAGAAAGGAAACCGGTGGAGGAAGTGCCAAATAAGGAAACAGGGAGGAGTGAGGGCAGAGACACAAGCTAAACATGGACGAAGGAGGAGCCAAGGGTGGACAAAAGAACATAAACAAATACATATGGAGAGAAGAACAACAGGAAAACAGGTATAGAAAGGAACACAAGGAAGTAAGGAGTAAGCTGGGCATAACGTTGGGGCAAACAAAGGTCATTTTTTATGTCCAACATAATTTACTAAAATTGGCTTTACTTAATCAGCTATCATATATCACAACAGACTACGCTACATTTTAATACATTGATTCAACTCAGACGCCCAGTTAATATGAAATCATTAAAAACTTCATCTAAAGCAAACTAACTGAGCAATGCGGCATACATGCTATCTTAAGTAGAACAGGCCTAATTTACACTGATCAGACATAACATTATGACCACCTTCTTGTTTCTACTCATTGTCCATTTTATCAGCTCCACTTACTGTATAGGTGCACTTAGTAGTTCTACAATTACAGACTGTAGTCCATCTGTTTCTCTGCATACTTTGTTAGCCCCCTTTTACCCTGTTCTTCAGTGGTCAGGACCCCCATGGACCCTCACAGAGTGGTGGATCATTCTCAGCACTGCAGTAACACTGACGTGGTGGTGGTGTGTTAGTGTGTGTTGTGCTGGTATGAGTGGATCAGACACAGCAGTGCTGCTGGAGTTTTCAAACACTGTGTCCACTCACTGTCCACTCTATCATACACTCCTACCTTGTCAGTCCACCTTGTAGATGTAAAGTCAGAGACGATAGCTCATCTGCTGCTGCACAGTTTGTGTTGGTCATCCTCTATTCCTTCATCAGTGGTCACAGGACGCTGTTGTCTGGATATTTTTGGTTGGTGGACTATTCTCAGTCCAGCAGTGACACTGAGGTGTTTAAAAACTCCGGCAGCACTGCTGTGTCTGATCCACTCAGACCAGCGCAACACACACTAACACACCACCACCACGTCAGTGTTACTGCAGTGCTGAGAATGATCCACCACCCAAATAGTACCTGCTCTGTGAGGGTCCATGGGGTCCTGACCACTGAAGAACAGGGTAAAAGGGGGCTAACAAAGTATGCAGAGAAACAGATGGACTACAGTCTGTAATTGTAGAACTACAAAGTACACCTATATTGTAAGTGGAGCTGATAAAATGGACGATGAGCGTAGAAACAAGTTGGGTCAATTTAATTAATATCAACTTGATTTAATTTCACCGCCCAATGACCACTGTGATAGGCTTCAGCACCCCCCACGACCCAGAAGGAAAAGCAGCTTAGACAATGTGTGAGTGGGGGGGGGGCGTGATTTGATTTCTTAACATGTACAAGAGCCGATTCTGTGTTTTTTGAGTGTAATCTTTGTCCATCTACTACCATAGTTCAATGGCAATAAGTAAGTTATTACTTAGTATTAGTAGTTCCCAGTAGTTATTACTAAGTTCGTCAGCATATTCTTACCTGAAAATGTTACCAAAGTGTTGCTTTCAATTTGCATTGTTTATTTACAAGTTTCCAGTCTTGCGATGGCCTGCTTACTTTCATACGTTTTTGCTCCTTACATACTCTATGTTTAAAGCATCGACTGTAGATCTATTGTTAGCTCTCTCATGTATGACCTAATAATGCCAAGACACACATCTGGTCAAGAAATAACACAGCAGACAACTTGTCAATTACTCACTGTCCCCAAAAATGGGTGAACTATGTACAATTAAAGCTGATATTTTATACATCATATTATCTGGACTAGAGAGTGAAGTAACTGTCTACATTAAAAATGTCTTTAAAAAGGCATTAAAAACATAAAAAAGCATAAAAACATTAAAAATGTTGCAGTTGTTTTCTCTGGTCTTTGCATGTACAGCTGATGACAAGCAGCACTAACTCTGCAAAGAGAAAAGTCTCACTGTGCTGATTGCAGCTGTGACTAAAGGTTAGTGTGGTGTGAACCCTCTTTGATTGGCCTGAGGGTGTTCTTTTGTTAAAAAAAGTCCTGAGATCAATGTAATGTAATGCAACCAGACAGCCTGACATGCTTTAGAAAAGAGACTTTAGATGCATTCATTAAAACAGATTAAAGACATCTGTTCATTATAAGCATAAGTAATGAACTGGTCTCTGGGTTGTCTTCCAGCATTATGTAGGACAGAAATTAAACATGTTTTCCTTTCTATCGCTTGTCATAATATAAGCTGATTTCAGAAAAGCTGGTAAGCAATAACTGTTTGCTATTCTAATTCTAATGTCTCACCTTTAGAATATGGTGCCCTTTAAAATGTAACAGTGTAGTCTTGAAGGTTAAATCAGAGAATAAAAAGCTACGTGATCCAACAACTGTGCACTGAAAGGTCAGATATGTCCAATAACTGTCACCCAAGCAGCATAATTAACATATTTTTGAATGCAGCTTGACAGTCAAGCCAATAAAATGGAACAAATAATAACAATAAGAATAAATCCAACAACAGTTACACATCCATTATTTTCTGCTTTATTCTGTGAGCACAGATAACGGCACACATATGTAGACCCAAATTGCTAAAAAGAATTAAACCTGTTGTCACATTAATTCATTAAATGACTGTTCCTCCAACTCTGCGGTGAAACTGTTCCATTAATTCAATGATCATTGTGTCTTTGTTTTGTTCTTTCAGTTTTCTCTCTCAAACACCAAAGATGGCTTGTAAAGCACTGGTATTGTGAACTATTCCTAGTTCTAAAAGCCTTTACTATTTAGGACAGGCCATTTCTGTGTTCCAGACTTTATGGCTCTCAAACTAATGTTGTTTATCTCCCATCCTAGACAGGCTTTTTGTAGGATAGATGAAGTTGCCTTGGTAACCCCATGCAATGTTCCTCTGGCTGTGAGTCAGTTATTTCTGCTCAAAGCCACATATTCAGTGATAGAGAATGAGCTGCTTCATACATTTCATCTCAGGGAATCTAAATACAGTTATTTAGTGTGAATATTTTATTGCTCTCTGTTATTAACTGTAACACAAGGAATGAGACGATCATTATAAAGCAGGAATGGAGGGGACAGTGCATTTGGTGAAAAGCAAGAGTAAAAGTACGAGGTAAGAATAATGCAGCTGAGAATTTAATTAGCAATCAGTAGAATTTGCATGAATCTTAAGAGAACTTCCCAGCTACTGGACAGAAGAAGTCCACAAAGTTTGAGTGGACTTGCTTGAAAACAGGGCCAAACATGTCTTATAGACCTTAGCTTTTATAGTAAATGACAACTTTACAGTAGAAGGAATAAACATCAAAAGGTTGTAGGTACAAGATTTTGTGCCGACAGTGACAACATTGTGGTGACGGCCACTCAGCCAATCAGGAGCTGGCATCGCAGAGAGCCGCGCAAAGGGGCTCATGGAAGGTGTGCCTCCGTTAGAAAGGGACTACTTATGCAGTGCTGCTGTTCGTCTACTTAAAGGCATGTGTGTGTGTTTCATGTGTGTTGTTGCGTTGGTGTGTGTTAAGTAAGAATAGAAACTTTTCAGTAAAGTGCACAAAACGTAGTGTAAATTTTATTAGTTGTATTATTAGCTGTTTAAGTGTTTGTAAATGAGGGAACTGATTAAGCAATTAGGATGTGAGACTTCAGCTATAAATCACACAGATTAGCGCTGTAACACATTCAGTTTGGGACAGCAGTTCTGTCCCAACAGTGTTTTTAAAGGCATGATACAAGCAGATAGTGCTGCACCTTATAGATATGAAGGCATCACTCATGTCTGAGTCATTACTTACAGCACTTATTACTTTCCAAAGTAGGCCTGCTGGGTCGACCCCAGATGACTCTACAGCGAGGATGCTGGAGCTGTTTTTACTATATTCTTCAGCAGGGGGCGCTACTACGGAGAGGTCGATTGTTCACTCGTTCACTCGTTCACTCGTGATTCTCCTGGCTCCTCATTTTTCATACTATAGTACTGATACGGAGCAAAACAGCCTCTGGACTCTGAAGAGATTCTCTCCTTCAGTTTGGTCATCTGATCAGCTGATCTAGAACGCCACGAATTGCTGATGTATAAGGCGAATAGATATATTTATATGTTAGGATCTGAAAACTATTTTATGATTATTATTATTATTACTCTTTCCACTTTTCTCTATTCCCTTATAGAGATTAAATGCAGCTCACTTAAGGTGGAAGTAAAACTTAAGGCTAAAACTGGCACAAGATATTCTCTGCAACTGCCCACTGATGTATTAACTACAGCTTAGACATGGAGATAAGACTTACAGGAAGCTTATGGAAAGCTATTTTTGACCTAACCTCTACAGATTTTACATTTTTACATTTTACCCCTCTACAGATTTTACATTTTACACCTCTACAGATTGTACAGATACTGTAGCCCAGAGAAATATGCAGCTGTGCATAGTACAGTCTCAACATGTATTTGTGGATTCAGTGATGAACAGTGTTTATTGGCAGCGGTTTGTCAAAGTATTCCTGAGCCCATGTAGTGTTATCAGCACAGAAGCATGCAGTGGCGTCTGAGAGATCAAAGGTCACGGGCTTTCATTTGCAGTTTTGGTTGAGCGTTGAACGTTCAAGAATGTTGTTCTTGAATAGCTAGATTATTTGTTTGTTTATAGAGGATGAGGCCTTCTGGGTGCTCTTTTTGTAGCCACATCACCTGCTTAAGGTGTTTTTTGAACATTTTACAACATTCCTAGTCTTAATTTGCTGCATCCCAACCTATTTTTGGAATTTAAGTACCTTTTTTAAATAAAGCCGTCTTCATAGCCTGCATCAGGAAAAGATCACTGTATAAGCAAGTTACTAAATATGCAGCGTTCATCTAGATTAAGAACAATTTAACCAGAATGAAGGATGTAGGATGGTTTGGCGTTTTTATACAAAGTAATGAAAGGCAAAATGAGGTGAATATAAAGAGTGTAAAGGACAGCAGGGGGCAGCCTTAACTGTAACAATGTTATATTAGAAAACCACACTGAGTTATCATTTTGATTTCCTGCTATTTCTTGCCCTCGTCTCTTTCACATGCATATTGATTTGTTCTCTCTTTCAAACACACATTTATTCCTTGCACAAGAGACATTCATGTAGGCACTGATCTGACTAGCTTTAAATTTAAGGGTCAATAAAGGGTTTTTCATTGCTCTCATCTTTTCCATTGCTTTAATACATTCTTTTCTACCTTCCGGTTGATGGAACTGTTTTTTCCTAGAATTACCCAGGTGCTTTACACACACGTACACATATCTCAGACCTTAAAGCACTTATTTCCTTTAAGGAACAAGCCACTCTTATCAATCGTAAAGCTACAAAGCAGAGGGCACCTAGTGGAAGAATGTCACCTTCCTGAATTTCCTACTAGGTTACGGAAAGTGACAGCTCACGATAAATAAGTCTGCTACTTTGATAACACATCTGTGATGAGTTCCAGGCATTCTTCACATTTACACAAGAAGGAAATGCCAACATTTTAAGACACACAGAGCTTTTCAGAGCCTAAGGCCTATTCTAAGGACCAAAGTCCAAAGTTTATTTTTCCATCAAATAACTGTGACTATAAAAACTGTGACTGGCTTCCTAGTTTCACTTTCGTATTAGTTACTGAACAATACGCTTGAGTTTAATACATGAATAATAACTTTAAGGGTCAAGGAGTCAAGATGTGACGTAAGATTTCAGAGAAGGAGAACTACATTGCGAATGGATTTGGTTATAGAGACACAAGAGCTTGATAAGTGGCTTTCTTCAAATCTTACTTTCCTGGCATATCATAACTTATTATTCCTGAAACACAGGGTCACCAAGCATCTCTCAGCTAGATGAAAGTTTTCTCTAGATGATAGTTGGGGGTGGTGGGAGGAGGAGCTGAAATATATTATCTGTTAATATTCCTCCCCCACCCCCTACTGGTGCACGGTGATGCAATCAAAAGATGTTTTAGAGGTGGGCAAAAGTGATTACAAGAATTTGATCCTGTAGAGCAGTGGTTCTCAAACTGGTCCGCAGAGTCCACCATATTCTTGCTTAAACCCAACTCACAACACAGAGATGAAATGAAGGAAAAATGTGGACCATCTGCTGGACCTTGAGGTCCGGGTTAAAAACTACTGCTGTAGAGGGCAACTTGGGAAAGAAAAAAAAGAATTAACAGACACACCATGAGCCTCTAAATGAGGTTCCTGAATTCCTAGAACAGGGGAGATGTTAGATTAGGGTTGGAGCTAAACTCTCTAAGAGGAGGTGCCGGATTCACGAAAGCTTTCCTTAGAAAAAACTTGTGAAGGTTCTTAAGACAAATCTTCATTGTTTTCTTATTATGCTACGTTGCATTTTACCATGTACCGTAAACGACCAGAGATACATCCTGAATTTGTATTAACTGTTATTTCCATTATTTAGTTTAATAACTAAATAAATAAATAACTAAATAACTATCAGAGGACAGCAAAACGGAGGTAAAACACAACAACTACGGTAATGGTGGAAGAAACAGCCAACAGGAAAAAATATCCTCATTGGAAAGTATGATTAAATATGGTGGGATGGAAAAGGATGGGCAGGAGTAGAAGAGACAGCGTCTGTGATCAATTTAGACGCTCACCTTGTCAACTCTTACAGCCTAAGACAAGTGTGAGGCTGTCGTAAGGTTAAGCAAACATTTTAAGAACAATACCACCTGTTCTTAAAATTATTCTTAAGAGTTAAGAAAAAACACACATTTAAGAAGATTTTCTTTCTTAAGACCCGTTTGTGAATCCGGCCCCCAGGATGGGCATCCCTGTCCTAGATGAAAAATTCAAACAGCCCCCTACAGGCAGGATCAAACACATTAGGCTGATCCTCAGTCCACATTTACTTTTAGAATAAAGAGCGCGAGGCTGTGCGCTGTAACTCCGCACTCAACTCCTAACCTGCAACCTAGCGAAGGATTAGCAGGCCAGGATGGCGTGGCTGTTGTTTGTTTCACAAATAGACTGAGCAGTGCCTGACCGATTAGCTCTCACGCCGTCCGGCTCAGGAGAAGGCTGAAGTCTAATCCGTCCTCAAGTATTTTGTCGCTGCTTTTCCTACATCCATTCTTTCTCCTGCCACAATATCTGTTGTTCGCACCAAAAATCCATCTCTCGGAGTGGTAGAAAAGACAAGAGACAGTTTTTAACCAATTCATATATATACACACATATATATATATATATGTGTATTTTTTTCCTGAAAATTAGTATCTAACAATGATATGATTGATTACATTCAACTTTGAGCCCTTTCAACATTTTAAATGAATATTAAAATGACAAGACTGACAGATGAAAAGGGGTGGAAACAAAAAAACAAAAAAAAACAAAAAAAAACACTGAGAAAACAACCAAAATTCACCCAAAAATGAGGGAATTACATTAGACTTGAAGGGTTCAAATTAAATAAACAAGGGAAAAAAGGCTGATAAACACAAAGTCAAGTTTTTTTGCCCCTGTGCTTAAGTCACAGCCCATCTGGCCATGTGCACTTGTTGAATGCACCACCACAGGCTGATGTTATGGGAGAGATGTACTGGCAGAGTAAAGGCCAGTTTCCCAGATCCAGATTAAGCCTAAAACTAGACTAAGAAAGATTTCCAAAGGTAACTCATCATGTCTGGGAAACCAACCCTAAGTGTTTCAAATGCAGTAGCCAGACAGCCCAGTGAAAGCATAATTACATCACCTCTACTGTAGCATCAAACGGACGTGCTGACCTGACTGAGTGCTTAAAGTAAGAAATACAGCCCAAGCGTAACTCGTCTTCAGCGCATGAGTCTGTGGTGGGGAATCCAACAGATACACTCATTCTCAGGTGTGTTCTGCTCCGGCTCCCAAAGAGCCTGATTAGTAATCGATAAGAGAGACTTTCCTCTGCAGCGACTAGTCTGGGTGCCCTCATCCCAGCTAACAGAAGGAATAAAGTGCTGGTAGCTGATCCAGAAGTGTTCAGGAAACACCCACACAAATGCAGAAAGAGCTGCAAGTCAATACTAGTCCCCAAAAGGAAATAACAAAAAAACAAAAAAAAGAAACAAAAGAAACTGTACAAAATTTACAACAGGCAGGATTCAATTTTTCATATCAAAGGGGGCTGAGAAAAAAACAAAAAACACTGGACAGACATGTGGCAATGTAGTTCCTAAAGTCCAATGTTATTCAAAAGTAAAATTAGATTATTACCTTTGAGATCAAGTACAGAAACTCATTTCTAAATAACTCATTTACATATAATCTGAAAAAGACAAAAAATTGATCACACTGCTCAACCTTATATGAACATCATGAGAAAACACATGCCATTTTAAATTGCATATTAATTATTCAGTTCACTTGATTTCCCTTTTGAATGTCAGTTTCATAAAGGTTCCTGTAAATGTAATGAATACAAACACAGCAAACCTGCCCAACAAATCAAGCCAGTGTCCTTACTGAGATGCAAAGTTTTCAAGGCTGGGAAAAGCAGATTCGTCTTGTAAGTCTCACTTGAACACCACACTGCACACATTAGCATAGCTAGATCGTAACAGTCTTACATTAGTAATGAAACACTTTCACCTGAAATTCCGAGTGTTAGTGCATTGAGTCATGTGTGATTCAAATGTAGAACAAGTCAAGGCTGTGTGGAGGTTACTTCCTCATAATGCTCTGCATCTCAATTCCCATTCTGAGACTTGTAGGAATGACCGCCACAGCCACGTGTGTAGCCATGGTAACACAAAGTCCCTCATCCAATAAGGATTCAGGGGAAAGGGGAGGACGGCTTTAGCCCCTGTTGACAGACAGTGCCCAGTTCTGCTAAGCAACACAAAAGCTCAGCGCTGAGCCAGGATTCAGACTAGAAGTCGGACTGTAGCCACGCAGTGGGGAACCAACAGGATCTTTTAAGCCTGCAATCTTAGGACATCACTGCAAAAGTAAAAACAATGGACTGCGCATGGAGAAATGGCTAAATCTATATTGTTCACCAGCTCTACCAGTTAGTTCGCAAAGATGTGTCGGACCTGACGATGGAGGCAGACTTCTCTGATCACTGATAAGCTGCAAAAATAGCTTTCTTAAGTTCAGTCATTTTCTACAGAAAAATATTTAAGAAGGCACTACGGCAATCAAGGCCTTTGTCCAATTACGTTGTGGTGTTGACTATCTATTTTCCACGTTATATACATTTAAGAACTTGATTACAACTCAAAAAGCTTCTCACCGATTTGTCACTAGCAAAAATTTGACGCATCAACTGACCAAATAGATAAAGTTAAAAAGTTTTACATACAGACCTACCAAAATATGCATACTTTTCTTATTGGTTTGTTATCTCCGCTGTGTAAAACGCGGGTCCTGATAAGGGTACATCTAGAAAAATACTGTTACAAATCTACACAACAGGAACCAGACAGTTTTACCTGAAAGATTTTGCAGTCAGCATACAGACACAGCTGAACTTAATCGTCCCTGCAGAAACAGCAGCATCGTAGCAGACACATGCTCCACTTATAGATTCATTAATAACAAAAAGAAAAAGGAAATAGGGAAAAAGACAATAAAAGCACCTATACATAGAGTATACACAGAGGCTGGAATTAGCAATGAAGGTTAATATCTTAATGCAGTGGTTCTAAAATGGTCCTCAGGGACCCCCACACAGCCCACATTTTTAATGTATCCCTGCGTATTGCAGTTAGATTGGAGCAAAAAATCTGGACCATCTCAGAGTCCCTGAGGAGCGGTTTGAGAACCACTGTCTTAATGCATTCATTTTTTTCCTGTAGTGGGCTGTCAAAGAGGTGTCAAATGGTGTCTGCAAAGGGCAGGACGCTCACCCTGCGAGTAATGTTTAGTTATATGCAGAACCTCAGGATTCCTACTGCGCATTTTATCCATGTGCACATGGTGTGAATACATTCAGAGTGTGTTTACTATGCTACTTCATCGGTACTGTTACCTAAAGAGTAAAATCATGGCAAAAGATTGTAGAATCTTTGCTAATTTCAAACCTTTCCATGGAAAATGAGATACTAAAGCACATGGGACTCTAAACAAGAAGATCATAGTCCTAAAAGAGCAAAAGGCAGGTTCACCGCCCTCAGTCACTGCTATCGTCTTCATCCTCGTCATCAGAGATGCTGGGGCCGAATTTGCTGCTAGGTGGTAGGAGGCTGTAGGAGTTCGAGCGGACTGGTAGGGTGGCCCCTGTGGAGAGCTGCTCGTAACAGAACTCGCACACACGGACCGGTTTGGACGACTGGCTGGGCAGCAGGAACTTTTTCTCGGAGCAGGGCCCGCACACCACGAAGCCGCACTTTCTGCAGTGGTGGCGCCTGCTGACGGGGGTAAACTTCACCTTCTGGCAGCGCATACAGACGGACGCCTCCGAGTCCGGCACCCACACTGCCGCATGCTCGCCGGTGGGCGACTTGCCGCTCTTTTCCAGCAGATCCGACACGCACTTACTGATGTGGCTCATCCACTCTGACTTCTCCGTGGCTGTAGCGGCGTACACCGCAAAAGACTTGGTGGGGGTTTTGATGAGCCAGCCGTTGCGCAGATCTCCCTCATCCGCCACCGTGTCTATGGTGACACTTTCCAGCGGGATGATGTGCTGCTTGTTGTACTTTTTTTTCTGGATGACGATGTTGCCGTACACCAGGATGTCGTTAAAGAGGAAGAACTGGCGCGCTTTGGGCTTTTTGCGGCACAGTTTGGTGAGCACGCCCTCTCCAATGAGCACGCGGCCTGGGATGGCCAGTGGCTGACCGGCCGTGCCGAAGCAGCTCTCCACTACCGCAATGCGCTTGGAGTTGGCCTCGCTGTTTGCCAAGCGGTCCACCATCTTTCAGTAACCTGGAAAACAGAGATCATAGAAAAAAGGACAAATAAGTCTCAGAACTTGGATGTGTCAGGTACTGATGACTCCTGACCTCCAATGCAGAGACATTAGATATGTGCCAGTTTAAAAAAAAAATACCACGATAATTTTATCACCTTTTATCACCGTTTATGATATCATGATATTGCACTATTTTTAAAAAAGTAATTTTATTTTTAATAAAAATAAAATTTTATACATGTTCCAAATGCTTTTTTAAAATATCAGTATATGTCTGCAATATTTACAAAAAAAAATCATTAAAAAATTGCAAATAGTGATACTCACTGTGTATCACTATTCAGAGTTTGGACAGGAGTTGAGAACTCCAGCACTGAGATCCTTACCAAAAACTGTCCAGGTGCTCCAACATAAAGTACAGCATGGAAGAAACTAGTACCACGGAAACAGCCATTCTGCGCTGTATCATTCAATTATCATGAACATGCCACAGGTGAAAATTTTAAAGTCATGGGGTGTGTTTTTTGAGCTACTTTTAAAATGTACTCTGAAAGTCAAAAAGATTGACTGCAGGGAGAAGAAAATGAATTATCTAGTTAGTGGCGGGACCCTCAAGGGTACACAAAGGGTAATTTGGGAACATAATTGTACCACAATCCATTGCAATTATATTCTTTAAGATGACTCCACATACCCTGTCACAAATTCACTCCACATACTTCCTCTCAGAAAAACATATTTAAGGTTTAGAATCGGACTAAAGGTACATTTTCTTCGTAATGAAAAATGCAGCTGCACAGTACCTTTTTTTTGTGTGACAGCGTGTCATGACGTCTAGCAGCAGTATTTGGACAAGATTTAATGAAGCCTAAACCCATACTCAAGAAAAGTTTTGTTACTTCAGTGAACTTCAGTGAACAGTAAAAGTACTTAAAAACGAATTTAAGTACAAAAAATAATAAGCAACTAAAGATTCTTTTTCTCATAAGTTTACCACAAAACCACATTGTGGATTTTTATACAGCACTGTGCAAAAATTTTAGGCGGCCATGAAAATTGTTGAAAATTAGATGGCTGTTTTTGCCAGTTATGAATATATAGATTAAAGTAAAACAGAACACAGAATAATACTTTTCACTGCACTCCAGTCATATCATGGATTTGTTAAATTCCATCAGCAGCAGACTTCATTTACTTTAATGAAGAACTGATTAGATAAACTAGGGCTGAATCTCAAGTGACTCCCCAATTCCTATTTAGTGCATTTTGTGAATTTTGCTTCTTCATACAAATAGTGCAGTATGGCTGAATCCCAAACGGTTCTTTGTTAGACAGCATGCACTGTTTGGGAGCAGGAGCTATTATTTTAAGACCTTTGTTGAACATAGGTTGAGACTCAGTCTAGGCATTGGGTTGTAACTGTAACTGTAATACCGGACTTCCTCAAAGAGAGACTTGAAAATGGTTAATCTAACACAAAATCACTTTGTGTATGAGTATTTGTTCTATGGTGTTTTTTTCTAAATGAATAAATACCACCTAATTACATAGAATTTGCATAGTATTGTATACACAACTTATAGCCTGTTTCTTTTGCAAATGAACACTTAAATTTTAGGGTAGTTTCAGCTTCTGGTCGGCAGGTTTTAAACACACTATGGGCTGGAGAATTTTTGCTGGACATGGCAACCCTGAGTACTACTATAGTTTGAGACTACAAACGACATGCAGACATGCTTGTAATAAACTTTCGGGTAAGCTTTTTTTTCTGCTTTGTTTTCTCCATATATTTAAACCTAATGCTGAACTACTCGACCTGCCTGCGAGCTCATTTGCATAGCCAAAAAGCTTAGGTTAAGTTGGAGATGCTTTCATACCTTTTACTGTATATACACAGAGTTTGTGAGTGCAAACTTAAGTGTATTTGTGGGACAGAGCATTTTGTTTCATCCCTAAGTTGGGTGGAACACGACTTTTCACCTTTCTGATCAGATTCTCTTCTGGGACCGCATCACGTGATCGAGCGTGAGCGTGTAGTAGGAGTTTGTGAAAGCAGAGCTGCTCTCAGGTGAAAATGCAGCTTGTTTGACTAAATCACAGTGATGGTATTTACTGTGTTATAACATCATGGTATACTGAATATGGGCTCACGTCTATGGGACATACAGTGTACATATAAGGTATAAAATGCATGAAATGTACTGAAGCTAACATTACAGTGCATATATACAAATAAACGTTCATGAAAAAAAAACCTTCTTTGAGACCCATTTAACTTTTTTAAAGCATGTTGGCTGTTATAAATCCTGAGCTTCATAAGCCTGCATACAAATTTAGTTTTAAATATCAGCATCCAAAAATTCTACATTTTCTTCTATGCATGAATGAGTTCATTGCTGATACATGAATGCACAGGTAAATCTTCCTTTATGCTCATGTCTATGAAGTCTTCCTTTTCTTTTCTTGTAAATCTCAGAATATCAACAAAATGCAATAGAGTCAACACACTAGACTTTATCTATGCACTTGAAGGAAAGTCAAGAGCGATAATTCTTTATCTACTGCGATAAAAACCTAGAAGTAGCATTCAGAATACTAGGAAACGATACTTCTTGCATTCCAACAGCTTCATGTATTACATTTTGTGAACACTGTCGATCTCTGAGGAAACTGAGCAGTTACAGAGCAATCTTTCAAATTGCATAACTGAGTTTCTCATGATCTGTGGAGAGATTTCATCCTCTAAGTATTCACTACTGGTAATAAAAATGAATGAAATAAAAGCTAACACACACAAATAGCGAAATGCTTGTTTGTGATGGAGGGATGGATACACAAAACTAATTTGAGCTTTAAACATGTCAGCTGCATGAGGAGGCTAAAGCTTCACAAACATCCTCTTTCTAGTCTCTCAACATTTATAGATAACCACTCAGCTTGCTACACAACTTTGTGGACATCCACCGAATCAGCACATCGTTCCACAAAAGAGAACGAATCAAGCAGCTGTGGAAGCTGTAAACACGTCATATATATAAATGCACACCATAAACACACAAGCCAGCTGAGAAAGAGGCAGATGTGAAAACCTGCTGCACCAGACAGCAGAAAAGCAGATAGCAATTATCTGATCCCTCTTGAAATGTAGCCCACAAATCACTCACTGATGAAAGCTTTGGACAGCACTGAAGTTTTACCAAGCATATCATTAAACAGTAATATTCAGCTTTGGGCAATATGGCAAAAATGTAACATCACAGTTCTTGAAGATATCTTCACGATACATGATACAAGGCTTCACAATCTTTCTTTTTATCTGAAGCTGTTTAGGCAGAAAACTAAGGAAATAAACCAACAAACGAGAGAGCCATCTTTTTAAACACTGTTACAACCACAGTTTGGCATTTTGAGTCTTAATTCATTTTGCAGGGTTTTACACGGTCTTGTATGTATGTGTATATTAGCATGTAGGGCTGAAATATTAATCATTTTATATCAAAATTGCAGTTTAAAGTGCAATTTTCAAACCACAAGAGCTGCAGTTTTAATTATAGCCCTAATTATCAACCATATTATCTTTAGTTTGAAGTAATAACACGGAGCTGGTGAACTGCCTGCAAATAGAAGTTAGATCAATCAAAAGCAACCAAACACTCGTGTGCTGTGTACATGACAACTAGAGGATGTGCATTTTGATGAACAGATATCTAGTAAACAAACCACAGAGAAGGAAAAAAACAAAAATGTGTAAAAACAGACTTCAACCAAAATTGGCACAGGGCTGTGGGCTTACGTTTTAGATGGTAGCACTGAGAGTTTGAAAACATTTTTACTATTTTTTTTTTTTTTATAAATAGTTAAGAGAAAGCAGTAGTTTTCATATCGAGTAACAGAAGCTGCCTCCTCAGAGGAGCTAATGAGCTAAAGTGCATCAGTACAATGATAAGGATTCATCATTTACATGAGGTCTTTTCTCTTTAGTGAAAGATGAAGCTTCTCTCTCCATGATGTATATCACTGCTGTTGGAAGAAAACCTTGTATCTCCATTTTTTGTTTTTTTCAGTTTTTGACATAATTTAAAAATGGCTGTTGCCCTTTACACTGTGTGTAAATTTAATGAAAAATGGACCAAAAGAAACGACCCAAAATGATTTGGAAAAAAGTCTGGTTCCATTGACTTCTATTAAAAGTAAAGTAGGTTTTTTCCTTCTCCTGTAAAGTTGTCATTTTGGAGATACGGGATTTTCTCCGAAAACAGTGATATGTTTTCACTGTTTATGGCTCTAGCTAGCATCAATAAGTGTAGTTAGCCTAAACAGCAGAAAAACGTGCCAAAGCCAGCTGCGTTATCTCTGCCTTTTCAGTCACGTTATTAACAACACATCATCGCCTGTGTGCTTCAAAACTATCACTTTTACAATCCTGTTAAAACGTAAAATCAGCACTTCCCTGCATTGTTAGCCTTCTAATTTGCTCAGTCTTCCTGAGATAGAACAGTATACAAAAACAGGCACCTTGAATGGTTAACCAAGTACTTGAGTACTTGTGCACATCCCCAGTAACAGGCAGTACTTGGCAGCGTTCAAGCTTCAAGCCAGAAAAAGTGGATATTCTCAGCCAAAACAACAGACCTGGACCTTAATTTATAGGCAACAATTGTAATTTGAATGGCAGCAACAACGCTGGTCAGAAAAATCACAATTAACTAAATTATCTTCCTCAAATCATTCATCCCTACTAGCTTGTTGGTCTCAGCAAGAGTTTTTTTTTTAATCCTGTGGTTCTGTGCTCTATATGTGTGTGCGTCATCAACTAATGCTAAAGGTGAACGCCTTTCTTAGGATAACCCCCCTGCAGAGAAGGAACTTAATGAACAACCACAACATCTGACTCAACCACCCCCACCTTCACACCTACACACATGCATGTAGGTTTGTTCCATGCACTGCTTGATGATGGAGTGGAAATGTTTCCCCTGTTTCAGAGGCCAGGCAGTCCTCATTACAGCTCTGA